CTTCCTATATTAGCCATCTCAATCATGCTACTCTGAGAACCAGGGTTATGTAAGTAACCCAAAGTCCTGTATGCTTGTGTTTTCAGTGGCACCATGTTCCCAGGTCCCAGGAACAGTGTTCAGCAGCTGTGGGCCATCCTGCCCTCGCTCCTGTGATGACCTTACTGTGAGTATCATTAGTGTGACTCCTGTCTGTCACTCGATGTATTTCATGCTTCTTATCCACAACCAGGTTCTGGAGGGTGTCATCAAAACAGACAAGCTCAGTCCTCCCTCTCCTCAGCACCTCCTCCAGGTTTTCCAGGGTGATGCTGAGGTGAAATAATTTATCAACCGTGCCCTGGGTCATGGTGGGAACTGCCTCATGAAAGTTCTCCTCCTGTTTGAGCCTTTGAAAAAAACATTCTGCCACTTGTATCTACAGTCTTATCCTTTCAGCCACTACCCACAGTATTGTACTGATAACTAAGTCCTTAACAGACTGGTACCAGTCCATCTGTCAGCCTCCCACTTTGATCTGATTCCACAGAGTGGACATCCACCCTTTTCTGACTTATGTCAGACGTGGATGTGCTTATTCTCACACTCATTACTGGGGATTAATAAAAGTCCTAATTTCCCCCCTCTCTCAGCACTGTGAGTGGCACTGTGAGCCAGGATGCTACTGTACAGAGGGAAAAGTCCTGTCTGCTAATGGGACCGTCTGCTTAGAGAAGGAAGATTGTCCCTGCCTGGACCTTAACACCGGGCGACGACTGGAACCTGGAGACACCATTGAAGCCATTGATGGATGCAACAACTGGTCAGAATTATACAAACACAAGAAGCACACGTAACACATGTAAAACACATTAGGATACACAAAGATAACCAGTTAGAAAGGAAACCTGAAGATCCTTCTGTTCCTTTGTTCTTTAGCACCTGCGAAGGTGGGAAATTCAACTGTACTCGAAACCCTTGTCCAGGTAAAGCCAGCTTTCAGTTTCAGAGTCAGATCATCTTAATAGTGTTAATATGTAGGACGATGTAGACAATGGCTATGTCTTGTAGTGGGTATAAAATAGCACAGATAGTTGTTTACATCCAATTTAGTGTCAGGTGGCTGGTGTGAGTGGTCGGAGTGGACCCCCTGCTCCAGGACCTGTGGAGCAGAGTCGGTGACCCGATACAGAAGCTGCAGCTGTCCTGAGCCAGAGGCCGGAGGAGAGCCGTGCTCTGGTGAGCAGGAACTGCACAGTGGGGTTGGAGTTCAGATCCACAGGCAGCCCTGCCCTGTCGTTACTTTCTGTCCAGGTGAGATGATAATGTCTCATGGAAAGACACATTCGCACAGTTTGTAAATGTTCTGGATGCGTGTGGCTGAAACTACTTGCCTTTGGGCTGAAGGTCAGAGGTCAGAGGTCACGTTTTCTGAAAATCTTGTGAATGCAGTAACTCAAGATGGAAGTCAGCTAGGATTTTTGATTTTATAGGATTTATACAGATTTCTGTGTCATGTTGAAAAATGACCTACTGTTATTGCACTTTTCTCTCTCACTGAGATATTACAGTTTTGTTTTGCTACTGTTGTTAATCACTGTGCATTTGTCTCTTACTTATAGCCTCGACCGTTTCAAATATTTTCAAATATTAATATTTTAATTTGTGTCGGTTTTCTTTTTGGTTTTCTGGTTCCAGCTACAGATTCTCAGTTACATCAGAGTAGTTGTACCTCTTCTTCTTCTCATTGCCTTACTGTGTCTTTAGTTCATGGCTCGTGGAGTCCCTGGTCCATGTGGTCAGAGTGCGATGGATGCACAGGATCGTCGACTCGGACCAGAGAGTGTAACAGTCCTCCTGCTAGATTCGGCGGTCTGCCGTGTCTGGGAGAGGGGAGGCAGAGCCGCCCTTGCAGTGAAAATCTCACCATCTGCTCAGGTTAGCATAGCTGTGGGTTTCATTCACTTTGACCGTAGAACTGCATAAACACTGTTCCACTTTTAAAAAACGATGTGGATGGTAATTCTATTCAAACCTTGTTCTCAGACTGTGGTGGAGGCCAGGAAGAATGGCCTTGTGGGAAGCCCTGTCCTCGCTCCTGTTCAGATCTCCATGGTGACACAGAGTGCTTGGACTCCCCCGAGTGTAACGCGACCTGTGGTTGTCCTGGTGACACGGTGCTGCAGGACGGAGTGTGTGTGGTGAGACAGGAGTGTCGCTGCAAATACCACGACAGCTCTGCTAATGGTTTGATCCTAATTTTGCTAACTTGTAAATGTCAGCGTGTTAGACTGTGAACATTTTACTCCACTCAGTGTGATCATTTGCTCTGATCGGTCTATTTTTGTGCAGATTCAAGCAATGCATCGTGGCTATGGCCCGGTGGATCTGATTGGCTGTTTGCAAATCCAGGAGAGAAAATTGTCAGTGACTGTAAAAACTGGTAAGCAGCTGATTCTTATTTTGGTTTAATTCACTCTTAATGTTCGAATAGCAAAAAAAAAATCTTTTTTCCCGACCTAATCTCAGCTCGTGTGAGGCTGGCGTTCTGCAGTGTCAGTCTGTCCCCGGCTGCCATGTCGACGGTGGCTGGAGCCAATGGGGAGCCTGGACTGAATGCTCTCTTTCATGTGGCGGTGGAGTCAAGTTCAGAAGGCGCCTGTGTGATAATCCGTCTCCACAGAGTGGCGGAAGAGGCTGCCTGGGTGATGCTGAGCAGCAGAGAGACTGCAACACGCACCTGTGCACAGGTAGTGATGACGGGCTCATCTAGGTTTTTTACACTACCATCTGCATTGTCACATGTGTGATGTCTGTCTGTATTGTGTCTCCAGAGTCAGTGGGCCCGTGGTTGCCGTGGTCTCAGTGGTCCGAGTGCTCGGTCAGCTGCGGTGGAGGGCAGCAGTACCGCTCTCGTGTCTGCAGCTTTCCAGCGTGCAGCGGTCGTCAGAGCAAGATCTGCAACACCCACGTCTGCCTCGGTGAGCGTCTGCTTCCTGTGCAGTATTTGTAGCCATGCTGCAAAGTTATATTTACACTGCTCCAGTTGGAGGACTGTTTAATTAGTGTCTTTAACTGCTGTTGCTGCGTGGGCTTCATGTCGCTCTGCAGAGGTGGGCTGCCCTCCTGGCAGGCTGTACAGGGAGTGTGAACGAGGAGAAGGTTGTCCTTTCAGCTGCGCTCAGGTCAGCGGCAGGGAGGGATGCTACGCTGACGGCTGCGAGGAAGGCTGCCACTGTCCCGTGCACACCTACCAGCACCGTGGACTCTGCTTGTCGGTGGGTTCAGAGTAACTTCAGTAGTATTAAAAGTGCAGCACAGAAAATGAAGAGCATGAACCAGGCTGTGATGCACCACTGAGAAGATCATTTCAAACTGATGCAGTTTCTTCTCTTTAAAGGGTGTTTGTGTTTGGTGTGTTTCAGGAGTGTCCATGTCTGGTGGATAAAGAGCTGCTGGCCTCTCTGCAGAGCGTCTCCGTGACACCAGTCGCATCCCTGCTGTTTCATAACATCTCAGAGGATATGGAGCTCCAGTCTGGAGATACGTTTGTCCATGACTGCAGCGCCTGGTAAGCGGAGAACTTTGGGAATAATAATACAATTTTTAAAAAAAACATATTTTAAATAACTACTTCCAAAGTAGTCGTGACATCCCGTTCAGGATTGTGGGGGGAGCTATCAAAGTGGGAGAGGTGGGCTGCACCGTGGACAGGTCGAAAGTATCCATGGAAATCACTGCAAAGCCGTTATCACAGGAATGACACCGTTGTCATTTGAGATGGACTGAGTTGAGAGCAACATTTTATGGCCTCATTCAGATCTGACTGAGTCGTTAATTCTGAACAGTTGATGCTGGTTTTATACAAACCTGCTGATATCCAGACAGCCCATTCTTCAGGGCAGGCCTTTCTTCTTATTAGCAAAGATAACGCCAACGCACAGGATGGATGCATTCCAGCACTGTGGCCCTGTAATAAAGACTTCCAGTGTTAAACTGGCCTGTCCACAGTCCACCGGTCCCACTTTGAGAACATCTACCACAGTGTACAGCTACAACCTGAACTGGTGCGCAGCTACAATCCTGTACTGAGTAAGAAATGGAAAACATTTGTTGTTGTGACACAGTGGGAGCGATGCCAACTGTGTCATACGTATAAAACAGTGTAAAACTGCTGTTATATGGAAAATCACCACCAGTCTACCCCTTTCGTTCCCCGTAGCGAGTGCGTGCACGGCAGGTGGAACTGTTCTCTGGAGCACTGTCCTGTACACGGTGCTTTGTCTTCCTGGGGCCCCTGGAGCCCTTGCTCACTATCCTGCGGTGGTTTGGGGCTCAAAACCCGCTCTAGAGGTTGCACACAGCCCGCCCCGGCCCATGGAGGGAGAGACTGCCAGGGGCCACGGAGGGAAACGACCTACTGCCAGGCCCCTGACTGTCCAGGTACTTTGGAGAGATTCTGTAGAACACGTGTAATATGTGTCTTTCAGGGATGAAGGTCAGATTCATGAAAAGCTGCTTTTCCCCTCCAGCTACTGTTGTTCCAACAGAAGAACCAGCCACACCGGGTAGGTTCAAACACTTTTCTGTGCACTCATTTGACTCTGTTCC